TGCAGGTTGATTTAGGAGATAGGGTGACCTGGAATTTAACTTGATTAAATTTTAAACCAAAGTGTTCAGGAATAATTTTATAATAATAGAAGTGTAGCTATATTTAAGTCTTTAGTCTTCCTAAAATACTCTTGGAGAGAGCCTGTTAAAACACTGTTTTGCTCACAAACACACAGTTCTGACCCAGCAGGCCTAGTCAGGAGACCAGCATTACCTACAAGCTCCCAGTGACACTTTCATTTAAATGCCAATAAAATATTCACACTGTCCACAGGCTCAATCAGTACATGAGTACATCTTGTTATAGCTCCTGGAATACAGGCAGGATTACAAAGGGCAGTGTGAGCTCTGAGTCCCTCTGATGGTTAATGTCTCTGCACTCAGCCTTCACCCCGTCATGGTTGTAGGGAGAGAGGCGAGGAAGCCCATTCTGCCGGGGTCACATGAAATAGATGGACACAGCCTGGGGGAGCCTGGAGGAGGCCCGTGGGGAGGAGCCACTGGACACGGGAATGGGGCCCTGGAGCCCCTCCCCTTGGTGAGCTGAGCATTCCCACCCCCTCTCTTTCCTTCTGTCACTAAAGCTGAGCCATTCTGAGCACAGGAGGAGGTTTTAGTCACACTTCCCCATGGGGTCACATCACTGTGTAAGTATAACTACCCATGTCCAGAGCACAATAATAATCTGCCTCGTCCTCAGGCTGGGCCCCCGTGATGGTGAGGGCGGCTTTGTTCCCAGAGATGGATCCAGTGAAGCGCTCAGGGACCCCAGAGAACCGGCTGTTTGTGTTGTAGATGAGCGAGCGGGGAGCCTTGCCTGGGGTCTGCTGGTACCAGCCGGGGTAGTTACTACTAGAGACTGACCCAGAGCTAAGGCCACAGGTCAGTGTGACTGTCCCTCCTGGAGACACAGACAGTGATGGCTCCTGGGTCACAGTCTGAGAAGCCACACCTAAAACAAACAGGAAAGACAGAGAAGTTGTGAAGAGAGACAAGATGAACCCTAGACCCTACTTTGCAGTGTCTCCCAGGAATGCAAAGTCTCTTCCTCTGACCTGAGCGGTAAGAGAGGAGTCCCAGCAGGAGCACTGTCCAGGCCATGATGGGTCACTCACAGGACACGGCCTCCTCAGGCTCCTGATGTGGAAGGAGGTCTTCTTGGGGCCTTTTCTTGCCTCCCAGACCCATTAGGAGGAGAATGTGCTTCATGCAAATCAGCTTCCTCTCTTGGTGCCCCAGTGTCACCCTGATGTCCCCTGGGGAGATGTGGAAAGAGGCAGATGCTGGGACCTCACACAGACCAGTGAAGATAGAGTGACTCGGGCACTGAATGGGCAGACTCTACGTCTTTCACCAAATCAGGGAGTGAGGAGGGTGAGGAGCAGAGGGATCTGGGTCCTGATGGGGAAGCCCCAGTGCTCTGCCTGCTTAGGTCTCATTGTTAGATCTGAGACTCTCCCATCTCCAAGGTTCTCTTGTCCTGTGTCCAGCAAGAGTCATGGGCTGAGTTTCTGCATGCAGCTTTGTTTGTGCTGTACGTCAGTCCACTTGAAACTGTCTGTCTGCACATCAGAGGGGAACTACTCCTTGAAGCGGAAGGTAAATGTGAAGCAAGGGTGTGATTCAGAGTTCAGGGCTCATGCAGTTCCTGTGGACCCTGGTGATGGCAAGTCACATACTGTGAGGATGCTGCTTCCATAAGTGGGCAAGATCAGGAAAGGATTTTCCTAGTTTTCCTACCTGAGAACCCAGTCCCTCCAGGACCAGTCAACAGCACCCCTGCTGTCTTCACAGCCCACCTTGTCAAGTCCTCCCGGCACCTCCCAGCTCTCCTGCAAGGGGTGGGTGGTGGTGGAGGGTGGGGAGCGATGACTTTTGCCTTTGAATGTTATCTGATATCACTAAGGCAGTACATTGAGTAGGTCCCTGCAGTGTGGACAGGACCCAGACACCGATTATCCACATCACCAATGACCTCTAAAGAGTTAAATCCAGGACGTGGAGCACAGAGGTTGTTACTAGATATTTCAGAGTTACCTGGGAACATTATACACTGTTCATTCTTACAAGTTAACTTATGTCCTTCCTGAGGGTCTCCCGTCAGTCCCCAGCCCCCACTGTAGAGGCTGTGGCTTTGGTCCCTGTCTGTGCATGAGATGCATCATTGTCTGGGGTCGCGCGTTCTGCTCTTCCTTCCTGCTCTGGGTCTCCACTGTCCCTCCTTGTCAGCCTGGTGATGCCTTATTTTCTTGTGATTGTCTAACACATGTCAGACATTAGAGTCTAAATAATTGTTTCCTCAGTGAAAGGTTAATAAAAAATGAAGAAAGAAGTTTCTGTCTGGTGATGACGGTGGAGTTTACAGGATTTATGGCCGAATAAATTGACACTTTTCCCACATCCTCCCACCAAAACTACTGGAGAGGGAAATGCACTGGAGGTCAGGACGCTGAGCTGGGATGCTGAGCGTCAGCGGTCTGGGAGCCTGTGTTCACTGGGAGGCTTTGCCCAGCCCCGGGGATGCAGGGGCTCCGCACAGCTCTGACCTCAGGTCACAGGAGACTCAGCTTCTGTCAGGACTCAGGGCTCAGGGGGTTATCAGTGGAGTCCAGGCTGGCACCAGGAGACTCACAGGGCACTGGGCACGGGCCACCTGGTTCTCTCAGTCACACACGATGCTCTTCTGTCCTCCTCCCCACCCAGCTACTGAGCTAGCATTTCACTTGTGGTAACAATTGTGTTTGTGTTGGGAGACCAGTGACCCCAAAGCAGATATTTCCATTTACTTTCTAAGGATGAACTGAGTCGAGGGCCGGCCCCCAGCTTTAGTATCACAAGGGACAGCACATGCCCAAAACTGAGCTGGTGTTGGTCACAGGCAGGGACAGGGGAGTGATGGGTCAGACAGGAGAGGAGGGCACAGATTTGATCACGTATCCCCTGGAACAGGAGCTCTCTGTGGCAATGGGGTTGTGTTCATCTCTGCAATGATGAGCTTCTGTCTGAGCCTCAGACTGGAGCCCAGAGGTGATCACACAGGTACTGGTGGCACCTGGATCAGGACAATCAGGCTCTAGCCTCTGGAAGGTCCCTCTGTGCTGTGTCAGGAAGAAAGGCTGGGGCCCTGCATGGGGACCCTGGGGACCATTGCCATGGAACCTCCAGTGGGTCTGCGGCTCCCAGTGCAGGAGAAGGTGACCTCAAATCTGGGCTCACTGAGAGCTTCTCACGGGGTGTGACACAGGAACAGATTGGGGAGCACCCGCTCCTGCTGCCCCACTGCCCCCCCCTACCCTGGGCTGTTGGAGAGCTGCAGGAGGTGTGGGAGGGCCAGGGGCACAGTCAGTGCCCACAGACTCAGGGGTCCACTCTCTGGAGTCTCCGTTGGTCCTGCGCAGTGTCAGGTGTCAGACTGTCTCATCCCTGGACCCACTTTACCCCAGAGCAGGCTCTGCAATTCCCTGGGAAATGTGGACCATCCCCCTCCTCTCCTGTCCCATTGAGAGGCCTCCTGATCTCAGGGCCCAGATTGCCCTTGTATGAACCCTCTTCCCCATGACCTCACACCTGAAGGCGCAGGCTCCCAGCCCCAGGTCTGGGCCACTCTGTGCCTGGAGTTCCTCTCACACCTGGGTCATCATCGGGCATCTCACCGCCCTGTACTGGGTCCCTGGGAGCCAGGGTGCTCAGGCAGCCTTGAGCTCAGGGACTGAGAGGGAGGGACTGGCTCTGCTTCAACCTCCTGATTTGGTCTCCTAACCTCAAGCCAACTCCAAAGGCCTCTCCTCCCTCAGATGCAGGCAGGTCACGTGGACATGGAGCAGTGTATTCCCAGGACTCTAACGTCCTCCATGATTTTCTTACAGTTTCCACGTCTTTGCAGAGATTTCCTACCTGTTCATTCACTGCAAGTGTATGTCACTCACATTCTCACAGAGAATGTATAAATAGGTGTGGGGATGATTGATATTCAGAGTCTGACCATAAACTAGATGTGTGTTCTTTTATTTAGGTCTTCTTCATGTATAACAGCAATTGGTTGTCCCTCTAATTTTTACAGAACTTTCAGGTTTTAGTGTTATTTTTAAGTATTTCTTATTTTTGGGTGTCTTAATATTTTAAATATATATTGTTAATTTATAAGTTTCTTTGTCAATGATTGGTGGTTTCCTGCTACTGTGACTCCTGGTATCATTTCTGCTGCTTTTGTATCTCAGAGCTCCAATTAAAGCAGTTAGAGAGGAAACATCACCAAGTCTCCCCTGGACTCAGAGCCGGGCACGGCCGGTGCCGACCACGGTGCCCACCTGCAGTGTCTCCACTGGGACATGTTTCTCCTGGAAAGGACTCTCTGCCTCTGGGACAGGGACAGCTGAGACTTAGCGGTGACAGTGAGTCCAAATGAGAGATGAGGGGAAGGTCAGGTGGCTGTTTGAGGAATCTCAGGTCCTGTCCACAGAAGTGACAACAGATGTCACCCCTGAGGGAAACATGATCCCAGGCTGAGCAGGGGGTGAGGCTGCAGGCAGGGGGAGCACAGTTGCCTTCAGTCTCACCAACCTGTGACTCACAGCAGAGTGTGAGCATCATAGCTGCTGTATTGGGCACAGCAGCAAGGCCAGCCTCGTCCTCAGGCTGCAGCCCAGGGATGAGGGTCCTGGGTCCAGAGAAGCACCTGCAGAGGCTGGGACCCTGGTGCTTGTCTCAGTCTGAAAGGTCAGACAGGAGGTGCTCATTAGGCTCCCTGACTTCTGCTGGTAATGGTATGTGGTAGCCGCCAACATTAAATCCACTTCTCAGGGTGCATGGGGATCTCACTGATATTTCCTGGGATGCAGAGAGGAAGGGGCAGAGTCAGCACAGGCTGGGAGAGGGAACCTATTTACAGGCACACTCATGGTTAATGGAGCAGGTCCTCAGGTTAAAGTTCCTCAGGACTCTGTCAAGTGAAGGAAGATACAAGCTAAATGGCAGTCCTGGACCCAGAGTCCTGTTCCTACCTGTGCAGTGAGAGAGGAACACAAGGAGGAGAGGAGTCCAGGCCATGGTGCACACAGCCCCTGAGCCCGCAGTGGGGCTGGGCTGCCCAGGCCTCCTTTTCTCCTCACCCTCTGCCAGGGAAGAGGCCGTCCATGCAAATGTGTGTCCATCCAGGGGCTGCCCAGTGCCTCCCTGAGCCCTGGTGCTGGAGATCAGTTTAGGCTACAAGGAGGAGACGGGGGTTGTCTTCATCCCTGGGGAGAGCCCTGGGGGGCAGAACCTGCTGAGATCATACAAAGATCCCAGCTCAGGAGACTCTGTAAGGCCTAAGAGGACACAGTGGCTGTATCTCCATCAGTGAGTCTCCTCAGTGATCACAGTGCCCAGACCCCAGGCCCAGATTCCTTTGAGAGAATGATCCTCACTGAGCAACTGTTTAGAGGCTCCAGGGTGGTCCACCAGCACCACCTGCTGGTCATGGCCCAAAGCCCTGAGAGCCCAGCTGGTTTCTGCAGCTCACCAGGTGGCTGTCTCTATTCACACATCCAGGGTCTCATGTGTAGATATTGTTGATAAATCATGTGGTGCATAGTTACCCTACTTTCTTTCACTGCCAGAAAGAGTTCTGCTCTATGGGAAGCAAGAACATGTGCAAATAGCTATGTCAGATGTCAGCATCCTCAGAATACACAGTAGAAAAAGTGACCCCCTGAGGTTCCACGAGGTTCAGAGTCAGACAAGAGGGAGGCAGTGAAACCAATGTGTAGAGAATGTTTCAGAAAGTGAGCTTGGTGACATGTTCAAATCAGGGCAAGGCTTTAGAATTTTGGTAGGGAACAGAGAATATCCAGGGGTTTGTGAGGAACTAACACGTGGGTGTACTTAGCATTTACCAGTGTAAATCAAGAATTTACATCAAGGGTTGATTGCTCTCCTTCTGTATTTGTAGCATCTGCATATGCTGCCATATTTATTTTGCACATTTGTCCCAGTCATACATATACTATATGTGTACTCTTCAATATGCACATACCTTTTAATGTTCTGAAACTCTTGTGCATTAAAGCAGTTAATTCCAATGACTGTCTCCTCACTGACTTGTGTTCCATGTTCCCAAGGGCTGGCTGATGTCATCGATGAGCTGATGGAAAGTGGGGGACGGACGATGGGTCCTCACTGTGCAGCTCTGTGATTCACGGAACGACACGCTGGGTGGAATGACGTCCAGACTGTGACAGAAATTCTCACCTCATCATTGAAGGCTGCTTTGCCCTCACCTCGCTTTGCAAAAGCCTCTCCTCTGTGGATTCAGACCACACACACCCATCTTCCTTTTTCTCGAGAATTTTCACATCATGGCAGTTTGTGGGGTTTGGGATGTGAAGGTGGATACTAGAGTTTGATGGGCCATGTGGTTCTCTCTATGGAACATGCGTGGACAAATGATGACATCACAGGACCTTAGTGAAGGGAGGCACCAGTGCACTTTCACCCACCTGACCCGCACTCAGCACTGTATAGGCTCATGGAGCTTGTCTGTGGTCCTCACAGTCTCCCCTGCTGTGTCCCTGTCCCTGTGGTTCTTCACTCAGCTCCTGACCACTCATCACAGCTTCTCCATTTTCCCTGTGTGAGGCCCCTGGATCCTGGTCTCTTGCACCATCACCTTGTGCAGCCCTGGGACCAGTACCTCACCTACATGGTTAATTAAGAACATGAGGACTCAAATTCGTGGCACTTTCCTGCTTTTGACACCTGGGGTCAAACTATTCACACTTCCTCTAGAACTAACTCAGAACCTCCATGTCAAAATGCCCAGAAAGCAGAAATCTTTCCATGGGCCTCAGGTCTGTGTCTTTTACAATATTACACATTTAGGTGCCAGATATATTCACTCAACAAACATATTTGAGTTTGTCCTTCATGCCAGCCTGTGTTCTGAATGTGTAGATACATTGGCAACAAAACATGAAAACGTTTAACATCTCAGGTCCCATGGAGCATCTACACCAGTGGGAAACCCCACAGTGAACAGAGTCACTGTCATCACAAATGTCCCTGTGGGGCTGGAATCCCCACTGACCTGTGATCTCCCTCAGATCTGGAGGTGACCCCTGAGGGACGAGACACATGAGCCTCACAAGGATGGACAGTGCTGGTCTCAAGGGCCTCCCACAGCGTGTCCTCGTCCTCTGTCCCTGCTGCAGTGCCCCAGGGGGCTCAGTGCACGTCCCGTCTCACTCACCAGGGCCTTGCACAGCATCTCCCTCTGGTACTGTGCACCGTTTCCTTTGCTTCATTTAATTTTTTGCATTATTGTCGCAGTGATAGTTTAAATGTATGCATATGATGAAGCCCCTCTCTGCTTATAAAACTCCTAATCGTTGCCTCCTCATGATTAAATAAAAATCTTTAGTGTCTCATTCAAGGTATCCGGGCTCCTAGCATGAACTGATGCCCATCTCCTGCCTCACCTTCCCCATCTGTAGTCTGTAAAAAACACGAATGGCTCCTGTTTGCAAATGTTTCTTAACCCTGAACATCTGAGTCTCATTCAATTACACTCTTCACATCTTTCAGCTCACATCCTGAGTGTCCTTTCCCCAGGAGATCATAGGGGGGCTCTTATCCAAATTGAGAGACAGGACCTGTCAGCTCAGACCTGCTGGATGGCAACCCTCTGTCATGGGGCAAGGACACTCAGTTCTGGAAGAAACAATCACAGCAGGACAGTGCTCCATCCCCTATGGTCCGCCCTTGTACCACTTAGATCCACGAACTTCTGTCATCTGTTTCACGGGCAGCTCTTCCCGGGACCTTTGAGCAAGTAGCAAGGGCTCATCTGTGGGATGAACTGTAATGTCTGCTGCTAGAGTTGGTCTCAAGCTGTCAGGATGCTACTTGTCCCCTCCTTTCACCTCCCATGCTGATTCCCCTGCCCTTTCCAATCACCAGGTCCAGGTGGCTACCTGGTAGGGTGGCTCAGAACCTCACTCTCCAGGGGTCTGTGCTCAAATCCACTTCCTTCTGAGGACAAGTGTTTGATGTTGCTGTAGCTGTTCTCTTCCCATTTCAAGCAGGGAGGAGAGAATCTCCAAGGCCAAGCTCAGCATTTCTCAACCTCTTTTTGTGAAAGCAGCCCCACCACATGCTGATAACCAGAGTCCACTGTCCCTGACAGTTTGGTGACTTTTCTCTTCATGTATAGGTCCCAGAGAAGCTGGCCTCGGAAATGTTAGGATTTATTTCTCTCATTTCCCTGGCACAAATATTCCTCATCTCCCTGCAGCAACATGAGAACCCACAGAGACAGCACTGCGGGAAATGGAGGCAGAGGTGCCCCTCATGGACCTCAACACTGACGGAGGGAGTAGCCTCTCCTTTGTGCCCCTTGTGGTGTTGGGGTCCAGACAACGCTCCAGGTCAGGTCAGAGCCCCACGCCCATAGTCACGGGTCCAGTGTTTCTACATCACAGGTGTTGTCCAGCCACTGTGGTGCGTGTTCTGTTGAGGTGGGTCCTGAGGGAGGATGGACGGAGTGAAGGAATTTGCTTGACAAGTGGAATACGGGAAGTGGAGAGAAAAAAATTAAACAAGGTGAAACACCTTGCATTGCACACCCTGTCACCTGTGCTCCCCACCCACTCACCACTGAGGAGACCAGCCCTGGGGCCGCCACTATCCTCACAGGGCTGCTGCCCTTGCAGCTCTCTGACCCAGGGACGCCCACTGACCTGCTGAGTGACATCTCCAGAGCACTCATTTCCTTCTCTGTCCCCCTTCCAGGAAGTCCCTGTGCTCTCTGCATCCCGGTGACAGTGTTTGGATGAGCTCTCCAACTGAGGGTTTGTCTGTCAACCACCCTGTCCAAGTGCAGGCCAAACAAGCTCTTGCTGGGCCTTGGCCAGGATGTGCTCATGCCTTCTCATTGTCCCCTGACAGCCTCTGTCTCTGTCCCCACTCAGGGCAGCCCACACTCAAGGCAGGGGTCACCCAAGGGCATGAGCAGCAGGAGTTGGGGCAAAGGCTGTCTCGGTGGTGGTCTGCCTTCTGACATCCAGAGGTTCACACCTTTCACTCACCAGACACATTTTCTAGGGCTTCTGTTCAGCTTTGCACCCACAGGAAGAAACAAAGCTGTGGCTGAACCAGAGTTTATGTCTTACTTCCTCCTTTGCATATGACACTGTGGCAATGGTCACTGTGCCAGACAATACAGGAGTAGTCAGCTTCGTCCTCAGGCTGGGCCCCGGACAGGGTCAGGGCAGCTTTGCCTCCAAGGATGGAGCCTGAGAACTGGGCAGGGGTCCAGGAGAGTTTATTGTTTGTATCATAAATCAGTGTGGTGGGGGCTTGGTCAGATTTTTGCTGGAACCAGTGTGGATAGTTACTGCTGGTGACGGCTCCAGTGCTGGAGGCACAGGTGAGAGTGACTGTCCCTCCTGGGGACACAGTCAGTGAGGGCTCCTGAGTCACCTCAGCCTGAGACCTGGACCCTGAAATGAAAACAGTCACATGTTAGGAATGAAGAGTGAAGGCAGAGGGATCCCTCCAAAGTCTGGTCTCTGAAGCGTCCACAGACCTGGGCAGAGGGTGAGGAGGGGGAGCAGGAGGAGAGGAGTCCAGGCCATGGTGGGCACTTTCCCAATCCCCTGGCCTCAGGCTGGTGCTGGTCTCTGGGTGTCCCTTTATCTCCTCCTCTGCTGCCTGGGTGAGGGGTGTATTTGGTGGGACATTATGCAAATTGGAGCGCAAAACACCATCCAAATCTGGGTCCTGGGCCCAGTTAATAGTTCTACTCTCAGAAGGAGGCTGGGTTTGTTGTGAGCTCTGAGTCTGTCCCTTGAGAGGAAGCACCTGCTGGCACTCTAACTCAGGCAAGGAATGTGGGCACAGGGCCCATTGAATTAGAAGCATTTGGTTTGGTTTCAGGCCTTGCATCTCTGAGAAGACCCACAGCGCCCCCTGGTGACGTCCTCCACAGATTACTCATGGTGTTGGGAGCTGTGCAGTAGGAATGGGAGCCCAGTTTTCATTTCAATGATCAATCAATCTATAAACAGATAAGAAACAAATAAA